CCCCCCCCCCCCCCCCCCCCAAACAATTGAAGCCCCGGCGCGGCCCTTGCTGGTGTAGAAGACCAAAGCGCTCCCCAGCAGTTCGGTAAGGGAGAAGTCCTGCATGACCCCGACGATCCTGTCAGGAAGAAACTCAGGTGCAAAGCTCCGGGCTTTCGGGCTGAACGGCTGAATGAAAACAGTCGGGGTGGGAGCGATGTAGGTCAAGCTCTGCATTACTCCAGGCAGTTCCAACATCTAAACTACGGTAGTCGTGTAGGCTGTATTCAAGGGTTCAGCCGCAAAGCAAAACAAAGTGCAACACACCTATGTAAACCCCAACTTCCGAACCCAGTGCCCCTTCCACTGGCTAGTTACGTTTGTAACCGTAACAGCAAAACTCTTGCTGGCAGCCATGTTATGACTTTAGAACAGGGATACGCTTTGCGGGGCGCTCCTGGCGCAAATTGATGAACCCCAGAAACCCACAAGCTCGTCGATGCTCACAATCTGTTAGCTGTCTCAAAACACCTGTCCCCAATGTGGACACAAAGTAGATCCCCTTTCTAGAATATACTATAGTATACTCTGGTACATTAAAAGAAAATTATAGTACAGTATAGTGTATTATAGTATTTGAGTCTAGGATCGCCTTACCTACACGTCTCGGAGTTGATGAGGCTAGGGAAGCACTCGGATGCAGATCCGCGAACTGCCCAAAGTCTCCTGGCCCTTAAACAAACCCCAAGCCCTACCCAGCCCCTACATGCAGACCTCTACTTGCCAGACCCCAAGCCTCAAATCAAAAGCCTTATCCTTAAAACCCGTTTCCCCCTGCACTGAAAAAATAAAGCAAGATAATCGGAAAAAAAGTTACATGCTGATACGCTCAAACAGACATCGAGGTGCAGCTCGTCTGCTTCCAACCTTACAGCTTGGGAGAGTTTCGCTTTCATGTCGAAGCTTCGGTGTCTAGGCCTTCAATGTTCAAGCTACGCTTCAAGGCTACTCCGTTGGGCCTAGTTTCGCGGCCGCAGTGCTGGCCCTAAACCCTAAACCCTAAACTCTAAAACCCTAAAACCCAAAACGCTAAAACCGTAAACTCTAAAACCCCAAAACCCTAAACCCTAAAACCCCAAACTCTAAAACCCTAAACTCTAAAACGCTATAGACCCTAAAACCTGGGGGTCAAGTCGGATTATTGGCAAAACCTTTGGAGATTCTTCGGCTCCAGGCCCAGACTATCCCAGACTCCATTTTAAGGTTTATATAGCGCTTAGGGTTTAGGGTTTATACGGGGTTCAGGGTTTAGGGTTTATATGGTGTTCAGGGTTTAGGGTTTATATGGGGTTTAGGGTTTAGGGTTTATACGGTGTTCAGGGTTTAGGGTTTATACGGTGTTCAGGGTTTAGGGTTTATATGGGGTTTAGGGTTTAGGGTTTATATGGAGCTTAGGGTTTAGGGTTTATATAGGTTTAGGGTTTATATTGGTTTTAGGGTTTATATAAGTTTAAGCTTTATATAGGGTTTAGGGCTTATATAGGGTTTAGGGTTTAGGTTAGCCTTGATGTTTCTGGCTTTTAGGATTCGAGGGATCCCGGTAATGGGCTGGCTATGTATTCCCCACTACCTTGATCCCAACCCCTAAGCCCTAGGCCCTAAACCCTTAACCCCAAACCCCAAACCGCAAAACCCTAAACTCTAAGCCCCTATAAACCCTAGAAGCACTTGTTAAAGCGCCGCAGTGAGTCCCTAAACCCTAAAAGCCCTAAAACCCTAACAACCTCAAAAACCCTGAACCCTAAAAATCCTAAACCCGCTGTGACTGGCAACCTCGGGGTCCCGAAATCTGCGAAAGAGGCAGATGACAGAGACCCTTGGTGGTGGCTTTAGGTTTTAGGGGTTTAGGGGGTTCGGGTTTAGGGTTTAGGGTTTGGGGTTTGGGGGTTTAGGGTTCAGGGATTTAGAGTTTAGGGTTTAGGGTTAATCAAAGTGCCTGGGGCTTTTGGGGGAACTGGCGTCTAGAGGTTTCGAGCTTTAGGACTTTCGGCTAATGTAGGGGCCTTAATGATTAGACTAGGGTTTGGGGGTATGTTATGCTCGAGTTATAACAAGGAGCCCCCAAAAAAACATAGGTAATCAAGAAGGCCCCTATATTTCCGCGCATGCGAACATAAGGATTCCGGCCAATCGTGAAGGGCCCCGTGCGTAAAACCGATCTAAGCCCACATAGGGAAGAATGAAGGAAGATCACATTCGAAGCCTGACCTGCAAACTCTGACACCCGAAAATCGAAAACCCGCAGTTCAAAACCCTAAAACCTATGTAATCTTCAAGCCTGTAACTTAAAATCGAAGACTAGAGACGAGAAAGTGGTGGGTACCGCACCACCCTCCGTCCCGTGTGCGTGTACTGTGCCATCACGAAGCTGCATTTCAAGGCTGTGCACGCCTCGGAATATGTTTTCGGATTCGATTCTATAGGGTTAAGCGCTTTAGGGAGCTTCATGCTACGCAGCGGAGCCTACTACCTATAGTCTCCATTGTAGTTCCTTTTTGAGGTTACCTTATAGGATCCCAAATATATAAACTGGCTAAACCAAAAAAAGGAACTACAATGGAGACTATAGGTATCTTTAGGATCCTGGAAACGAGAGTTTCGGAAACCCCAGCAGGCCCAGGGGGTTCTCCCACCAAAACTCCCGAAACCCATGGCCAAGCACTCGGCAGCTAGAAATTGAGCTTTCCTACATGAGTCTCTACAGCGCAGCATCACAATGTCTGAGGAGGACACAAGGATCCCTGACAGGCCAACCCCTTCCGAACCATGTGAAGAGCCTTCCAACTGTGAGCATCTACGGTGCTTGGCTGCAACGCACCTTGGATCCCTCAGCGTCTGATTTGCAATGGGTCCCTGAGTTGTGGGCTTGGCGGACCCTGAACCTGACATAGACCCTACTAAAAAGAGGCCTTAATAATAGGAATAGGGTTTCGGGGTACATTATACTATAACAATAATCCGGAACCCCCTAAACCCTGCACCCAAAAATACTCTAGGTATTTACCCATAGGCCCATAGTAGTTCCTTTTTGGGATTCCCTTATAGGATTCTAAATATGAGCCTCGAAAAGGAACTACTATGGGGCCTATGGGTAGTAAGGCCCCGATATAACCCCCGACCCCGAGCCGCCTCCTGCAGCCCTGCCGATGATGGTGTCCACCACACCTGAAAAGGAGTTTAGGGTTTGGGGTTTAGGGCTTAGGGTTTAGGGCCCAGGGCCCCTAGATGCCGCAATCTCATTCTGACAGCAGGATGGATCCTCGTCAACAAGACAAACAAGACGACAGATGGTACCTTCCGAAAATTTGGGTACCTTATTTTGGGGTCCTTATAATAAGGATCCTATTATTTGGGGTACTATATTAGGGTCCCCTATTTTCGGAAACCCCCAGATTGTAATGGCCACCTGTGCAACTCTAGGCCTGACGTGCGAGAGGCAGGGACCCCAACTCAATTCAGGCGTATGGGTTTAGGGTTTAGGGTTTAGGGTTTAGGGTTTAGGGGTCCTATATGCAGAGACCTAGTAGCACTCAGAAAAGCGGCACCCATAAATATGTTTAAACAACCCAAAATGCAAGACCCTTAAATCCAAAAAGCCTAGCACCCGCAGAGCTCAAAGACTCATGCAAAACTCTAAACCCTCAAACAGTTCTTCTCAACAAAAGCCCCAGCAAACTCTAAAACTCTAAAAGTCATCGCAACATCAGACCCCACCTATAGTCTCCATTGTAGTTCCTTCTTTTGGTTTAACCAGTTTATATATTTGGGATCCTATAAGGTAACCCCAAAAAGGAACGACAATGGAGACTATAGGCACAGTCTGATCCCGAAGCAGCTCCGGCCTACATTGTCACCCCGCACCGTGCCAGTCTTCAGCGCTGGGGCTGTGCTCACCGGCATCGCGCAGGTGTTAGCCGCGACCTCCGACGCAGAGACTGCCAAGCCCCCAAAGCCCCCAAAGCCTCATCATCCCAGCTACTGTAGGGGCTTTTAATAATTAGAATAGGGTTTGGGGCTCCTTCATAGTGTATTTATAAAGAGGAACCCCAACAGTAATATTGGTAATTATTCAGGCTTCTATACTAGACCCCCAACTTGCCTCGTTTAGGGTGTTAAAGGTCAGGGCTTGGGGTTTGGATGGGTTTCGGCTCTGGTTCAGAAACCCTATGATAAGTGCGGAGGCAATTCTGAATTCAGGAATCATGGAGTCTCCGGGTGAGAGGTTGGGGGTTTAAGCATTTAGAGTCCATAGGGTCAATAAGGTTTAGGTCTTTAGGGCTCTAGGCTCCAGGGCATTCGGGGTTTCTGGCTTAGGGCCTTAGAGCTCAGAGCTCAGGGCTTTAGGCTTTAAGGATTACTTAAAGGATCATGGGACTTAGTAAGTAGGGTTATAACTAAGGTAACGATACTTATAACCCCAATTAGGGGACTTATAACCCTAAGTCCCATGATCCTCCAAGTGGTGGAGGGGTACCCTAAACCCTAAACCCTAAACCCTAAACCCCTAAACCCTAAACCCTAAACCCTAAACCCTAAAACCCTAAACCCTAAACCCTAAACCCTTTAGGGTTTAAGGATCATGGTGGATGTGAGGCTTGGTGAAGTCTCGGGGTCGCGTGGCTTTGGTGTTTTCTGTAGGGCTTTTCGGGCTTCGGGCCCCATGGCCCTTTCAAAAGACCTACTAAGGCCTGAAGTTAAAGGCCCGTATGACCCCCCCGCCCCCCTTTTTAGAGGTTTGGGGTTTTGAGCTTTAGCTATTTTATTTTAAGGTCTAGAGGGTCTATAGCTTTGAAGAACCCACGATTTGAGCTTTGCTTTCATCTCTTGGTTGCTTCGTTCTCCTAGTCCGGACAACCTCAAACACGCTAAGAAGTCCTACCCTGACCCTCAAATCCTAAACCCTTAAAGCTAGGTTAACCCCCACCCCCCTAGAATGCAGTCCATCTAGCCTGAAAACGGGTTCCTTAGAGGGTCTCGGGTTTAGGGTTTTGGGGTTCCTTAGGGGTTGCTTCAAGGGTTCCTTAAAACTTTTTCGGTAGTTCCTGAGCGCTGAACCTCGAACCCAAACCCCGCAAGCACCTCCAAACGCCTGCACTGTCTTCTGGCTGCTCCTAGAATGTAACCCTAAACCCTTAGAACAGCTGCAGGGCTCTACAATGTATACAGTGGGCCTTACAAACTGTTTCGCGAGTTTAAGCCTCGGGGGACGTAGTAAATACGTGATACGTCGAGCTTTCAGTACCCTACTAAAGTTCACCATTCTCTGACGATTATACAGGACCTACGTACTCAATAATATACTAGGTCCCCTGATACCTGCATACAGTGCAGGCCTCACGGAGCCAGACGTGCTCACTGCACTGCAGTAGGCCATACCTTCGGCACCAACCATCGTGTTCTATCGTGATGTCTGCAAGTCTGTTTGAAGGGGTATCTGAAAATAGGTCTATGTAAGAGCTTTCAACTTTCAAGGTTTTTCATGGCTGAATGAGTTTAATGTGAAGACACTGTCACAGACAGACTAAGATCTTGGTGTGCATCATTATTCTCGTAAAGGCACAAGAAAGGGGATATGAACATCCACATTATTAGCTGGTAGCTAGTCTGACCCCAATATCGCTTCCCTGTTTGCAGCATTCAGGCTTCAGGGGTAAAGTCTGGGAGTTTAGGGTAACTTAAGCAGCAGCAGCTTACCATTAAAGTGTACTACGCAGAACCTCATGAACATACATGCCTCATGATCAGTAAACCATCGAAAAGAACACCAGCCTCTCTAACCCCGCGAAAGGTAGATTCCACTTAAGTTTACCCAGAACCCTAAACCCTAAACCCTCCGAATCGTAAACCCTCGCTCCCCAAAGCAAGACCCTCAGTCGCAAAACTTGGAAACGCTACGGCGGAGCTCCTTTCAGTTTAAGTTGGTCCAAAAGAGTGCGGATGTTCCGGCACTATTTGGTGTTCAAGGCTTTAAGGTGCAGGACGGTAGAGTCCCAGCTACTGAAAGGCGACAAGGTTTATGACTACCATGAGTACCACTTTTAAAAGGCTGACTGTCAGTGCCTTTGGGGCCTTTTGGAGTTCAATCGCTGTGCCTTTGGTCTGGATCCACGGTAAGCAGCCCTGTGACGAAGTCCTGGCCGTCCTCCTGGGATGCGACTTCTCTAGTGACCAGAGTAAAGCGTCCCGACTCTAACTTAGACTACTCTGGAAGGTAATGGTTAAACCTTTCACAACACACACACACCATCACCATCACCATGCATTCGATGTGCATCCAAAGCAAAGGCAGACAACTCATCTCGGACTATGGAAAGCAGCCGTTAAGGGACAAGGAGCTTCACCATCACAACTTATAAAAACTAACTTCCCAGGCACCCACAACTCGGGCAGACATCGTTAGATATCATTAATAAAAACCCTAAGCCCTAACATCTTAAACCCTAAACCGTACCTTAAGAACCCAAAACCCACTTTTTTGTAGGTTGCTACTATGAACCCCAATATGGGATTTATAGGGACCCTACAAAACAGTAGGTTTGGGGTTCTTAAGGTACAAAAAGGCTTCTGTTCTCAAGGTCCCAGCATCGGAGACGAGGCTCCAAGACTCGCAGCCCCGGACCTGGGAAACCTCTTCCTCCAGGGCGCCACTTCTGTGATACGGATTTGGGTCTAGGTTTCAGGTTTTGGGGTTTAGGGTTCAGGGTTTAGGGTTTAGGGATTTAGGCGTAGGACTTTCAGAATTCAGGAAGGGTGCAAGTTCTAAAAGCCTGAACCCTCCAAGACAGGCGCGGAGCTGTCTTCAGATCGTAAACATGTCCTGAAATCCGACATGACGTGCGAGCATCCTTTTCGCGTGAAAGCCGATGTAACAACACCTACGAGGAAGCCGACAACCGGACGGTTTAGGGAGAAAGATTCCGGCTCCATTGCATGGCTTGTCTTAGGGCTTAATGTAGAAGCCCTGTTAATTGGAATAGGGTTTTGGGGCCCATCATACTACAATCAAGGACCCTTTATCGAATAATATAGGTAACCATGCAGGCTTCTATAGTACTTATAGGGCCTAGGGCAATAACACCTGGATGGAAACAGGAAGTTGAAGGGTTCTCTAGTCTCTATTCATTCCAAGCAGCCCAAGATTGAACCCTGAAGCCAGAGGATGACCCCTCCACTACTTGGAGGATCATGGGACTTAGTAAGGTTATAAGTCCCCTAATTGGGGTTATGAGGATAGTTAGCTTAGTTATAACCCTACTTACGAAGT